TAGGGGGACAATAGCGACTTCTGCGACACACAAAAGGGATTCTCGGGAAGAGGGGAGTTCCTCCTTCCCCCTTTCTCTCGTCGTGGCTCTGGTCGTGGCCGGAGACGAGACAACCTCCGTCACTAGCTGTCAAGGTTCCTAGACGAGCATTACAAACGAGGCGTTAGCGACATCCACCAGGTACTCTTTGCTAATCGTTTAATTCGTTTTAAAATTCCTTTTCGAGACTTTTTTAACAAGATATTGGCATGTTCCAAGTGATACTGCTCTTTTGAACACATATAGACCAAAAAATGAGCGCCGAAATTTCGTTGTAGTATCCCTTTAAATATCGACACCACGGGGATCGCAAAGCTTGATGAAGAAATCCTAGGAATCGCATTGCTCACAATGCGCTCCCCACAACTTCGTCATCAAGTTTAGCGAAGGAGAGACCGAACGAAAAAGTTCGCATTTTTCCTTGAATTTACGCAGCGAGATTGAAGCTTCTTGGTCAATGGCGTTGCGTGCGAGTGTACGTAGATTGAGTCCTACTAGTGCAAGTAAGCTTGTGTAAAATAAGAAACATTTCCAGCTAGCATCATAGCAAATCCTCTTTAAATAAGAAATCTTAGTTAATTATTCGAATTAGCGTGACGATTAGCCTCCTATAATATGACTTTCTGGCCGTGTAACTCACCTGTACACACCGCATTAATGTAACCTTCACGGCTTAAAAAAAAAAAATAAAAATCTTCATAAGCCAACTCATGTTTACAAACAAACCAGAGCGCCCCTAGCGGACGCCACCGGCGCCGCGCATGCGCGATGGAGCGTGGGCAAGGAGCTCTCCCTGGCTCGCCGTTCCCCGTAAAAAAACATTGGAAGGCGATGTTGTCGGCGTTGGTGTAAGTCCCTGTGCTCGTTTTCGCATTGGAATTGTCTTTACGTCTTCCTAACAGTGCCTGACTACCTGGGGGGCTTCAGTAAATAAATGAGGCTCGTTACACCGCAAACCTTTGCGTGAATAAGCTGACGTGCGGCGATTCATTCCGCGTGGACGCCGCAGAATGAGCGCGAAAGCCTGACTTGCACGATAAGTTTCTGCTCGCCATTTTTATTCGCGGCGTCAGTAGGGCTGAAAAAGCGTGGACCGTAGCTGAGGTTATAAACGTCGATACTGAAAATCGCAAGTGGAATTGCGCATTACAAGTCGGTGATGGCCACATGGTAGAAATGATCAACATCTCCTTGTATCTACTGCTTACACTGAGCCTAATTTCCCCAACCCGCCTTCAAACTTAAAATGTTTTTGAGGCCTGCACTTAGTTCTTATCGCTATTAACGGTTCAAGGTTTGGCCTATACGGGCCGCTGTCGTTTGAACGAGAAGACTATAAAAAGCAGACAAGTTTGAAACGATAGTTCGAACGCATGCGGAATGGAGTGTGGGCGAGAAGGACCGCGTTTTGCGCCAACAAACCACTGGAATGGCACGTTGTTGGCGTCTTCATGAGTCTCCGTACTTTCTTTCGAGTTGAAATTGTCAATTCTACATCTTCATAGCAATGTCTTAGCACTTTAGTCACTTGAGTGAAATTATCAAGGGTCGTTACGCCGAAACGCTTTCCGTAAATAATTTGACGTGCGGCGATTTATTCGCGCGAGCGCCGTAGAATGGACGGCAAAACCACAACGAGACTCTTCTCGCTATTATAGGTCACGACGTCGCTTTTGGTTCAAGAATTTAGACGGTAGCGGCGATGATCGACGTCGATACTGAAAATCGGAAGTGGAAACAGACCAATGGACCTTTTCCACATACCGACGGCACCAGGCGGTGGCTGCAGGAACTAAAAATTGAAGAAGTGACCTACCTGCGCTACCAATCGATTATGGAGGCTACACTACCAGTTTCTTCGCTTTCTGAGCAGCTGCGCGTGCCCAGCGCGACTTTAAAGAGGGGAATCCGTGGCGTCCACCCAAACGTCATATTTTCATTTCCGTTTACGTTCTTTTTTTGAGTAACACAATTATATATATACTGCAGTTACGTAATTCTACTTGCTGATATACAACCTCCTTCCGAATTTTCTCGATTTCTCGTTCCGATTTCCGCCGCTTGGCATCGGGCGCTCGCGCGTGCGCAGAACGCTTCTCGGAAAAGGTCCATTGAATCGGGCGTAACAAGTCGGTGATGGCATGGTACCAATGAATAACATCGTGTATCTACTGTTTAGACCGATCCCACTTAAACGTCATTTGAAACCTGCAATTACTTTTTATTGCAATCACCGGGCCAACGTTTGGTCTACGGGCCGCTATTGTTTGAACGAGCGGACAACAAAAAGCAGACGGGTTTGAAAGAGCAGACGACATTTCGAATGATCAGGCGGCTGTTTGAATCATAGAGTTATTATAATGTACGCTAGAGGCTCAAATGGCGCTTGTGTGCTGATGCAAATTGAAGCAGACAGCAACCGGTCGAAAATGGACTTCCGGCAATGCATTTCTATCGGAAATAGTGAGTGCATTTTCTCCCTGCGCTCGATCAAAATAGTTAACGAAAAAATAGTCAGAGTGCAGGCGAGCTGGTGTCCCAGTCTCAGGTTTACAATCATGTTCAAAATAGTTAATATCCCCAATAATTCGTGCATACTAGGCAGCTGGGAACATTTCTCAGTCGGGCCGACGAAATAATTGGTCAGTTACGGCGTTTTTTTTTCAGATTCATTGCACTAAAACCGGTGCTAAAACGGCTTCAGACGTGTATTTATGTGCACTGTCGGACACTGTTAGCGCGAACACGACGTCGGTGCTTTTCAGCGTGGTGGATATACGCGCCAAACGAGCGAAGGGCATGTGGAAAATCAAGAGAGACGGCAAGAACTACGCAGTAACACTGAATAAGTAACTACTAGTGCATGCGGGATCAAAATAAGTTGAAAGCCACGTAATATATTCCGATTTTAAATAAGTAAGTACCGCTTTATTCTTTCTGCCCTAAGCGAAGCTGCTTGTTCTACGTTCAAAATATCACCCGCGCGCTCGATAGCTTTGAGAACAAGTGCTCGATAAAAGCTGCCCGGTAGAGAAAACAATACGAAGAGACACCTTTCATAGCCCACGGACTTTATAATCTAAGTTTTGAAGGTTTTTATCCGCTCATGCACGACGGGATCATTATTATAAATATACAAGCGTCACCGGAATGCTGGCGAGCCTTCAACACACTCTACGTTCGTTTCGATTGTAATTTTGCTTTGAATCGTCGCTTGTTTTTACACACTTGCTGCGGAACACGCGTTTGGGACTGAAATGTAGCGAAGCTAAATACCGTTCACTGATGAAGAAAAATGCGCTAACTAAAGCAATTACACTTTTACAGTCTTAATCAAGGTACATGCTACTCGGTACGACCCAAATAACCAAAGTGTTCCGTGTTAATTTCCGGCGAAGAGACAAAATGCACGCGCGTTTTCCCATAGGAATGCACAGGAGCACCGCAAAAGTAGACTGAATGCTGTCTGCTTCAATTTGCGTCGCGGAAGTCGCATAGACACTAGTGCCAGTTGAACCTCTAGCGTACATTATAATAACTCTATTGTTTCAATTTGAAGACGCACTGAACTCGCGGATGGTCCGGACAACTTGGCGGTTTTCTTTCGTTCATATTGGAAAGAAACAAATAAATCTGACAACCACAAGTATCCGTGAATTCATGTCAAAGTGTTTCCTGCACAAGCAGTCGTAGTTCGACAGCCTCTGGTTAGCCGTTTTCACGGCAATTATCCACGTTCTCGGGCGAACGGAGGAGGGAAAAGACACATGAAAACTGGTCTTCAAACCTTTCCAGACTCTATTGCTACAGTCCCCGTAGCGGCGTTTTGTCGAGTAGGCAGGTTTTTTGTCTGTTTCTTCCAAAAGAACACAGGAATGCATGTTCGCACGGTGACTTCCGCCCACAGCCCCGGACCGGAAGTGAGCCCGACGCGCCGTCACCGGGGCGTGGCCTAGCAGAGTTGAGTTCATGTATAGCCTCAAAAGAAAACACTCGGTCCCTCGTTTGCAGGTAAAACTCGATGTTTCTCGATATTTACAACCCGAACAAGTCTTTTGAAAATGCAGTAAAGCCAAATTTCTCCCCGAATTTATAAATCGATTTTACGATTTTCAGCATTACATTGTTCCAACTTAATGTTTTATAAAATGAAACCTTGGTAGGAGCTCGTACGTTAGCTTCAAATCTCGGAAACAATGCTAGATCTTTTTGGCTTCATTAATCTGCACTGACAAATCGATTACTCGAATGTCGCTTTTATGTCCATTGCGGATAACCTTTTGCCCTTCTTCCATTTCCATTGCGTGTAGCACAATAATAAAGAAGAATGAACAACTTTTTTTTTCGAAAGGAGCAGACGATACCACTGACAGTGCTGTGCATTGATAATGAAAGCTGATGTTGAGAAAAGTTACCTCAATTCGATGTCCAAAACCCGGACAGGCCTTGGATGTAAACAGAGGTGCCGCGCATGCCGACGATTTTGTAACTTGCATGAAGTTACAGAAAAGAAGGTGAAATATGAAGTGACCTCATATGTTACAATGCTGTCTTGCGTATCTTGATGGCTTGGTAGTGAAAAAAAAAATTTCATCAATTTAAACTCTTCAATACTCTTATATTGTTAATTATAAATGCTTATATAAAAAAAGAAATCTAAAACGCCGAACTGAGAGAAGTTTTGAGAAAAACCTAATTTCTCCGCGATTACCAACTTGGAACAAAGAGCCCGATTTTTATCCTCTGATTTTCGAAAGATATAACTACTAAGCGAAGGACCATAGGAATATGACATTGAATGTCAGAGCTGAATGGGGACATCCTAGCGGAACTTTATTTCGGCATCAGAAAAGGCTCCCACTAATAAAGCTCAAATGCAAACCTGTTGGAGTAGTCTCAGTTGTCTTAACCTTCCCCAGATGACGACACAATTTATGTATATGGCGCTGAGGCTTACTTACGGTCTGGGCGCAATCAAAACGTAGTTTTCTTCGTCTGTCCTTTCGATGAATTTTACGCACGTTTTTGACTGCAGCAGCTCCATGGCATCGAGTATGACTTTTCTGTCCGAGTCTGAATCTAGAGAGGGGGGGGGGGGGGGAGGGGGGGGGGAGGGTGATGATGAGGAAACAAGAAGTACCGAGTAAGACAAAATAAATATTAATAAACACGTGCCGCTCGGCGCAATCAAACAGTTCTACGGGCACTTCATAAAAAACCCGCTCAACAATCTGAAACCCGCTCAACAATGTCTGGAACTCCGCGCGTGTCATGTGCCTTGCCAACCCCAGCGCGTGGCTATGGTCAACATTGGCGTATTATTATCGGCTCCCCTGGGGGGCTAAGCTCGGCGCGGCGAGATCGAGGCGAGTTCTCCGCCAAACTCGCCAACCGCCGCGATTGGTCGGCGCCGTGCATGACGACACGCGCCGACACTCCCTAGATCGTGACGTTAAACGGAGGGTTTGAGGCGGTCGGAGAGTTGCATATTCGGAACTCGCGGCGAGATGCGGTGACGTCATTCTGACGTGGCAAAAGCCGCCGCGGATGGTAAAAGCTTGCCGGCTCCGACCTAGGCGAGTTTGGGCGAGTTGGGCGCGAGATCAGGGAGAAGCGTCCAAAATGGCAGCGTTTTCGTTCGTGTTTTGCCGTCGGCATAGGTATTTAAACCACGCCAATGTGTTGGACATGGACGACGTTGATTTTCAACAACACTATCGCCTCTCGAAAGACGTGGTAAGGTGGCTGTGCGATGAACTGCGTGGCGAACCGGGCTTGAGGCGATGGAGCCGAGAATGGACCGTCGTCCCCGTCGTGAATTCTTAATCCAAATTCTACAAAGTGTATCCTAGAAACAAATGTGTTTTTACGGCAATCTGCAACCAGGAACGCAATTTACCATTACCTACAGGCTTTTACAATTATTTTGATGGGTTGCTGTGCTGCGTAGATGCAAGATAAACGTGCTTGATAAATTTGAAACTAAAACAGATAATAGAAGAAAAGCAATGAACATGAATGGCGCAGACTAACAAATGTGTAATTTCTTTCCCATCTTTCTCCCTCCACACCGTATTTTGACAAACAAATTGGCCGTTAGTTGTTTATACAGCAGGAGAACATGCCAGAACATTACGACATTGTCACCTACTGTAGATAAGCAATTTAGCCAGTGCAGTATGACTGCTAGCCTAGGGTCTTTAACGTGCTCCACGCAGTAGTGATACACGACCGCATGCCGGTACGATGCTCATGAACATCGATAAGGGCAGGGGTGGGGATGAATCCCCTAAGGCCCCTTGATAAAACAGATCGAGATCCACGATCCTGGGTTCTGCAGCGCGAGCTTTCGCTCCACGTGCACCCTATTAAAAAAAAACATATTGTGGCTGTGTGAGGGGAGAAAGACAAGAAAGAAATTACACAGTTGTTAGTCTGCGCCATTCCTGTATGTTCTTTTTCGTCTATACTCTGCTTTAGTTTATATCTTTATCAAGAGCGTTTTTCTTGCATCTTCGTGGCGCAGCAAACCATCACAATGTCTAGTCAACTAGCCCATATCCAAGCAATGCTTGTATAATTAGCATCCCTGCTGTTACCCATTCTTATTTGTCATTTACTATTTAAATAAAAAAAATGGGCTGTATGTATGTTGATACCGCTTAAAACTTTGTCTGCCTCAACGGGCGTTGATTCTCCCAGCTGTAGATGAGAAATTCAGCCAGTGCAGTACAACCGCTAGTCTGGGGTCTTTAACGTCCATCCCGCAGTAGTGTTACACGACTGCACGCCGGTACGATGCTCATCAACATCGAAAAGGGCAGGGGTGGGGATTGAACCCAGCATCCTGGGTTCTGCAACGGACCCTTCGCTCGACGTGCTCCGAGCTGGTGTGCGCTAGAGCACTATATAGCTCCTTCGGAGCAGAGTAGCGCAATCTAGAACGCCGTCTCTCGGCGACTAGCGGCGAACGCCCGGGGGTTCCAACTGCGGTCAGAAATGCATGGGGAACGTGAGAAAATCGTTGTTTCTTCAGTTTTGTGAGGATGTGCGGAATCGAAATCATTTTTGACAGAATAATGAAACATTTTAGAATAAGAACAAAACGAGCGTGTTGGTAACGGTAATTAGACATGAGGAAGATACATAGAAAGGGGGGGGGGGGGGGACGTCCCGCCTTTCTATGTATCTTCCTCATGTCTAATTTTAGAATAATATGCGATAAGTTTTGTGCCATACAAGGACGTAACTCTTTTTTAAAAATTGCCTGAGCGGCATCATGCAGCAGACGACACGGCGACGTCACACCATTCACGTGACCCTCTCCGGCCAACCCGAAAAGCCCATCTCCGCTGCGAGCAAAAATCGTCTGCTTAAAACGCCATTGCCTCGGAAATTGCCTTCTCAAAATTTGCATACGCATCCGATATTATTAAAACTTTGATAAAGTGTTTAGCGCTTTACTAACTTCACGACAGGCTAGTTTTGAAAAATGTGAACTCGCCGTTAGTTTTTTAATCAGCCGTGTTATGTCGATCTCCATGTATTCTCCCATAGGGTGGGCCGCCTCCTGGAACCCTGAGTACCACGTGACTCGCGCCGAGCCGCTCTGTCGGCCATGTTGTCGGCAAAACACGGGGTTCAAAGGATTGCGCTACTCTGCTCCGTAGGAGCTATATAGTGCTCTAGTGTGCGCTAGCCCAGCCGGCCACCGATCCCCCGATTCAAATAAAATAAAAACCCTTCACTGCGGAGCGTAGGGAAAAATCGGAGCTACGCTGGGGAACTCGCCGCCGCCGGGGGGGTCGGAAATGTAAGAGGGGGAGTGGGAAACTCGCCGGGGCGGAGTCAAAAGAATCTCCTCCCCTCCCTCGTGACGTGGCATCGGAGAGATTCCCGCCGGAGGCGAGCTTAGCCCCCCTGATCACGTAATCGCTTGTTCTGGCTGCGAGTTGGGGGGTGAACGCTGCTTGTTTTTCTTTAATTTTTTATGCGACTTCGATTGCGAGGGGTGAAAAAAGAACAGGTTTTTCAGAGGTCCTTAACGTCAGGGATTCGTTTTAAGCGGTATTTGCGCAGAGTACAAAAAGGGTTGCATCGCCCCTTTAACCAGGAGGAACCGTGTTCCTCATGCCTCGTATTTTATACGAAAGTGTGTTTCAGATAATTTATACTTTTAGTTTATACAGATTTTTGTTTCAGATCATTGCTCATTGTAAACGATAAATGCAAAAAAAAGAAAGAAGAAAAACATCTGAAAGTTTTAAGCAGATTGGCGCTTAAGTGGAACGGCATGTAAGTGGAACAATTTACGTAACACATACGATTAAAAAAAAGCAAAAATAAAGCGAGAAGAGCCGGTGTTCTACATATAATCTACGATCTCTATAAAAGTTTACCTTGTCCCAGAAAGAATATGTGGAGCGTTAATGTGACTAGAAACTACGCGGAACCAGACTGAAGGGGCGATGCAACGATTTTTGTACTTAACGCATTTTATTCTAAAAGCACTACAGTTCTATCGATCCGCGGACACATCCGGGAATCCGAGCACCTCTACGGCGATACGATTGATGCTGTCTGACAGGTGCTAATATCCAGAATGATCTTGCGCAAAAAAGGTCTAAAGTCTCATTCCTTCAAATCTTCACGATATATTTGCGTCAGAGAGCACGAAGAAATCCGAAATCGTCGGCAAGCAGCGGCACATCACAACTACCGCGCACCGAACAAACTCGCATCAACCAGCTCTGGGCGCTGCCATCTTACCGGTGACGTCACGGCTCTTGTGAGGTCACGTGACGAGTGGTCACTTTAGCGCACAACATGGTGGCAACTTGGGGGGGGGGGGGGGAGTTTTCGAAAGTGCCACTTTCGAACTTCCGGTTTATCACTCTAAGCCCCTCTACCTCATTAATGAAAACGCTCGCTTTTTTCTTTGAAATTTCACCGCAACAAAGGAGTTTCTTGGCCAGTGACATTGCGTGCGAGTATTCTTGTATCCCACTAGTGCGAGCAAACTCATGTAAAGTGGAAAAAAACAACAACAAAAGCATTCCAATCGAATATCGTTGCCCCTTTAAGAGTGTATATCAGGGCGCCAATGTCGTCACCCTACCAATACCGTCAGCATAACGCCACTAGACCCTCCTGTTTGTTGGTGATCGGAGTTCATTCGAAAAAGCATTTATTTTTGTTCTCCCTCTTTGAGGGCCTCATTCATGTGATATGGGCAAAAAGTAAATGAAACCTACCGAAACCTTTGTCTATTTTGTAGAAGACCTTTCCTTCTGGCCATAGCAATGTCTCGTCTTTCACCCCGGCGTAAGTGTCAAAGCGCTTCTTCTCCTGCAATAAATGAAAGAACCGCTGCACAATTAACAGCTTCCAAGAAGTAAGCTTCAACATATATAAGACGGTGAGTAAAATGACAACAATAAAACTGCCATAGCATTTCGAAGTATGATGTGCCACTGTTGTGTAAGTTGGCAGCCTTTCTACCTATACTTAAAACACTGCCCGATGGGTGGCGGAAAGGTACAGACAATCAGTGTGATGCAGCAGCAGCACTGTAAAGGTGGCCGCCCCACTTGAGTCAATGCACCAAATAGGTGCATCCCTGCTGTTATATGTCTTTTTAAGCAGCGAGACAGTGACAACTATTCAAATTCATCGTTGAATAGAGTAGTGGTATGGAAATAGTTAGTTGTCACTTATGAAAATGTATAAATGAATTAGAAATCTCCAAACAAGCGTAGTTTCATTACAGACTCTCCTGTGAAAAATCGCCAAATGACGGTGGTGCATGTGTTAAAAAAACAAGAAAACAACTAAAACTAAATTAGGAGCGGTCTTTTATAGCTTTTTGTGCCGTGAATTCAGTTTTCGCAATTAGGAAGAATTAAACGTGAGCGAGATTTATTTTGAAAAATACGTGCAACGATCGTCGTAGGGCATGGGGCGAGCCTTTCTGCCTCCTTCTATCTCTCCAAATCGTCCTCATGTCATCGTCGGCATACCTAAGTGCCCAGGCCGCGTATTTCCGATCTCCTGGTTCCCCAATGCCGCGAGGTGGAAAAATAGGGAGAGGAGGACACCCTAGCAACGATAGACATCCTGGCAACGGCGCTCACCCCTGATTTGCTGCTCGGCAACGCGTGGGAACTTGGATTTCGGACTCGGACGGCTTGTGCATCACTCGGGAGCGCGTTAAGCCCGCCCCCCCCCCCCCCCCTCCCCCGGCTCATGTTTCCGCCGCTTCGGGGTGACAGTATGCGGCTGCTAATTACAAAACTATTAATCCACTTGGCCCCGTCGTACACACCGCTTCGCGGTGTCCAGCCGGCAACCCTAGCCTCGCTGTCCCCCATGCACCTCCGGAAATTGAGTCCCATACCATTTAGTTCAGTGAAGTTTCGTCGGCAACATTCGTATTTTTCAGAGTTAATAGTAAAAAAAAAAAAAAAGAAATGTAAACATCGTTAAATGCCTCGACAAAGCAAACTTTCGAAAAAAAGAAGCTAAGCCCTCACTGTGGTTCGAACACGGGTCCGCGGCGTATAAGGCAGACGTCTTACCACTAAGCTGAAGCAGGGTGGTGATCTGGGCCAGTTGGTAACAGTTAAACATGATTAAAAACAGCCTCAGATGAACAAGAACGAAAAATACTTAATAGGTAAAGAATACGACAGGACAAGGGTTGACTCGCTACTGAAGTTTATTAAAAGAAAAGTGAACCTAAGAAACTTGTTAAACAGATAACACACATACAAATTTAAAACACGCGCCCACCAGGCGACCAGATGTGCAGATACATCGCCTCAAAACTTCACACTCATGTTCGAATGCAGATACAGCACCTCCCGCTCAGATAACGCCACCGATGGCTCACTGACACATCTGTCTGCCGTCGAAGAGATAATGAACGCTTTAATTATCTTTCGAGTCATTTTTTTCCCGGTGTCTGCCCACAACAGTTACGTCACCAAAAGAGGGGAGACAAAAGCAATCTCTGCAATGTAGCGGTAGAAGTCCCCCTACCGTTGCTTTAAGGAAGTACGCGTGCTCTCTCAGCCTGTCTTTCAAACACCTTCCTGTCTGACCGACATAGGATCTTCCACAAGATATGCGTATTCGATAGACGACACTCGTTGTACATGTCAAAAACGGTGTTTAGTGCTTCTTTGTCCACTTAAGCCTAGTTCACATGCAGCGGTTTTGGCCCTAGAGCGGCGCGATTTCTGCCGTCGCGGCGCTCTGGCCAGCACCAGCAATTCTGCGGCACGAGCGCCGCGACGGCGGAAATCGCGCCGCTTTAGGGCCAAAATCGCTGCATGTGAAACACGCTTTAGCTTGCGGACGTTTTTCCGCACCTGCACTAATCCTCGCGCATGCCTGACTCATTTTTTTTGTGGCGCTGAAAACAAAACAGGGACCCCGTATCTTTCTCCGACCTCTTTCAGATATCGGGAAAGGCAATGAAGGTAGGGAGCTTCCACCCCCCGACCTCTCTCTACTCCTGTCTTTTTCTTCTCTATGCCTTTTGCCTGTTTCAGCAGCGAGCCCGCAAACCTCAGCCAAAAGGCTCAACAGAAACCGTTGAGCCTTTTGGCTGAGGTCGTAAAATTTAAAATTTAAAATGGTTGGTCGTAAAATTTAAAATTCTTTCAAGGTCTTAAGTGCGTTTAGAATTGAAACCCTATCAGGCGCGCAATCCAAAATATGCGTACAGAAATTTTAGTCTGCAGACAGATTCTATGAAATACAGACGTATGGGTCGGGCATCAATGTCGGCATGCCTCACTGCCATTCCATTTCTCCATATGGCATGCAGGCCCAGGAGCATGACTAGGTCAACGGATATTTCAACTTGTTTCTCCACGAGAAGGAACCTAATTCCGTATGGGGCTAAAGGAAAGTCTTTTTTAATGGTTTGCTGGAGGACGTCTCAGAAAAAGAAGGCGTCGCAGCAGTCGAGAAAAACATGCTCTGTAGTTCCAGGCTTTTTGCAGAAAAAACAATGAACACCTCACGGTACGTATATTTTTCCCCCCTCAAGCCCAGTTTTGACAGGTAATGTATTGATGTGCAACAGCAGATAATTTCCTTGACTGACTGAAGCGTTGTGAGAGAGGTTGGTGGGAAAGGGATGGCCAATAGGTGTCCTTCGGTTACGTTGGCAGGCGCGCATCGACGGGGCTGACAATGGCCGCTGCGCTCGCCAGTTTCCACGACCGCTCACCCCATGGTGCTGCGTGTCCATCAGCACGGAGCGTCCAAGGTCACCAGGGGAACACACGTGCCGACCGGTGACGAAGAGTACGCAGCAGCTTGCATGTTAAGGAATGCTTGGGTGTACCTCTTTCTTTTTTGTATCTGCCATAACCCAACGGTATTAATACTTTGTCTCATGTTTTACTCCCAGTTTTATTCCACAACGTCATGACCACATTCAAACAGTAGGCGAGCTATGCAGCAAACATTATTGAGTCATAATTATTTTCTTGTGACAAGACCATCAAGGAATGAAATGCTCCGAATCTTAAGCCGTCTAAACCGCAGTGCGGAACGTTTTTTGTTTCTTTTCATGTTTGCTTACGCCTATTGATAATGCCTGATGACACTGCAGGTTCAAAGTGAGCAAAGAATGAATATACAAAAAATAATTTCATTTCCTTCCAGTGCGTTTAGTACTTCCAAGCACGAAGCGTTTGAAAGTACGGAAGGTATGAACAGTATCAGACTGATACTTCAGTATGAAGCATGAGTAATAAACATCCAGGCGGCGTCCTTAGCTCTTGTTTTTGATCTTATGCTTGTGTGGCCTCCAGGAAAAGGTTCTTGCCCTACTAGGCCCAGCAGCATATCTAACCGTCATTATCTCCTAGTTCAGATTAGTAAACGTTTATTGTCCAAATTATGATTTTCTCTTTATTGGCTGGATGGTCGTAGAGTGCAGCCTTTCTTTTGTATTCTAGCAGTGAAATTGTTTTCCTACAGGTTTTAGTTTTATACACAGACGTGAAGCTGCGGGAACTATTGTATCTATACTCGTCACATCAAAAAAAAAAAAAGAAAAAAAAAAAAGGAAGGGTTGCGCATTGATCATGCGCTGCGGGAAGTAGTTCTTAGAATATTTGGTTGTTGAAGAAAGAAACGACGCTTTTAGCGTTGGGGACGTGTTCGTCGTGGTGAAACAACTTCAAGCTAACTTAAGATGCATTTATATGTATATACGTATATATACAGGATGTTTTTTTATCTTTACACATTTCTTAAAAAATAACAGGGAAAGCTATACTGATGCAGTTTGTGCAAGTGGGTTATATGGCCAGGCGGACATTGTGTGGGTGGCTAATCTTTGCGGTAAGTCGGCTAATTAATTAAAATTTGTTAATTAACTTTTTGAACACAGCAGTGGCGGCAGCGCGCACAACGTTCGTACAGCCAGAGGACTAATCGCACCTACTATCGTTGCAGCCGGAAAAGAGGCCTCGTCACACAAGATTCAAGAACCGCCGTCTACCCATCTTGTGCTGCGGCCGTCACCAACCCAAGTGCGAGCATTGTCGGGCCGCAGTCGGCCCAGGTTCGCAACGCAAGACTACGTCATCAACGGCTGCAGTGGAAAGGGTCTGCTCCTTGCTTAAGCAACAGACAGCAGTGGCGGCAGCGCGCACAACCTTAGTACAGCCAGAGGACTAATCGCACCTACTATCGTTGCAGGTTGGTTCAATTTCTTTACGCTTGTATTTTGGCTTTCTCGTGCCGTTGCTGCCGCTGCTGCCGCTGCTGCTTTTGCTAAGACTGTGTACTTTCAAAAGGATGGAAACTGTGTGCCCGAAATGTAATGAAGAAGTGTCAGATGCTGACTCAGGGCTCCTATGTACAGGATGTGAATACACATATCACGTGAGCCCATGCTCCGGTGTCAACGACGCGACCTTTAGGTCAAAGGGTAGTGCTATCCGCAAATCATGGCGATGCCAAGCTTGCAAAACTGTGAAATCCAGGGTGGCAGTTTGAGCAGCAAAGAAGAAATAGAGCCTGGGATGGCGGCCATGTTCGCTACCGTAAATGCGAAATCAGATAGCCTTTTGGACTTGAAGGAGACTGTGGGTGGCATTGAAAAGTTTATGCACGAACTATCAGACGAATACGACGATGTGGTAAAAGATATCAGCGAACAAAAAAAAGGAGACAAAAAACTGCAAAAACAATCAAACGCTTGAAAAACGTGACGCCGACGGGGAGATAAAAAGACTAAGGCAGGAGGTCAATGACCTAGAATGGAGAAGCCGGAGGCTGAATCTAGAAATCCATGGGATCCCCCAGGCAGACAAAGAAGA